TACGTCGTCACAATCCAAATTCATCTTGTTTGTGTTTTTAAGATTAACAATGTACAAACTCGTGTGTTGTATGAGGGTAAACTCTAAAAAAAAAAGTCAAATTTATCAGAATCACAAAAGTATGGGCAAGAAGTATTTTGTAAGGTAAACTTTGACAAAAAGTCACTTTAATCAATTAATTGTTACTGAATCTTAAATTCAATGTACTTCCTTAATTCCTAACACTGAAATCTGAATCTCCTTTTTGTAGTAATAATCTTCCCAGGGAAAATTAATTTGTAGAAGCTGTGAAGTTGAAGCCTAAAACATAAAACTCGTGAGACAGGCATCATTATCCCATTCAGTTTTGCCAATGAGATTGCAGCCAAAGAGCTCAATTCCAAGGTGCCTACAATATGGTTTCTCTAAATCATATACTGTATAAAGATAAGCTGCATTTGTTTTGTTTCCATAGTGAAAGAGCTAGCTGCACGTTCTGAACTCTGTTAGTCTTCTTTTTGTTTTTGTATTGTTTGAGTGGCAAGAGGAAATTCTTCTGAAAGTATTGTTTTTTAATACTCGTATTTCGTACTATAATCAATGTGTGTACAAGATAGATTGGTTATCAGGGACTACAAGTAAAAAGTTTCTGAATGTCAGGGTTGACAGTATATATGATAAATTACATAGTATATGAACTAGGCTAGTAAGGATGTTGCCATATGGAATCAGCTGCCACTCACCCGGAAAAAAACAAAAGGATCTATTACATTGGATGCAACCAAGAAAAAATTAATTCGCTGGGAAACATGATTGTATATCCAGCAAGCTAAGACCGAAAAAAGAGCTAAGTAAACATTGGGAAGCAACCAAGGCAAAATCAACCTGATACAGAAGTACATACATGATTGCAGATCCAGCAAGACTGAAAAATGGGCTGAAAAATAAGGGGTCTTCAGCCTCTTCACCAGCAAAGCGAAAGAGTGGGGAATCCACGAGACCATCAAATAGTAAGGTTTTTTTTTTTTATCCTCAACACCCCCAAAAAATGTATGTTGGCTACTTGGCTAGAAGCCAAAGAAGCCGCTACCACCAGAGTCATCATCATTCTGTAGGCTGCTCCATTTGTCAGCAAGGAATTCTTCACAAGCTTCATGGCTATAATCTGCAGTGGAGTCAAATGGTAGTCGCAAGGACTTAATCTGATTACATCTTTTACCTAAATCTCCCGATAAATCAATGAGGAAACATGCACGTAGATCAAGGGATTCAAGAAGAGGACATCCATCAAGAATTTCTTTCAAGCCTTCATTTGACATATAGTTCCCAATCAGTTGAAGATTGTGCAAATTAGGCATGGTTTTAGCAATAGCTAGTGCTTCCTCATTGCGAGCTAACGTACAATTATTAGACCCAACTGCATTTAGGCTGAATGATTTCAATGAAGGGCAGGCACAGCCAATAGCTTCAATAGTAACCACAGAATAATTACAGATAATAAGCTCCAATTCCTCAAGCATCGAGAGCTTTTTAACAGCTTCAATCAGTCCAGCATCAGAAACATCTAAATAGTGCCCAAGTCGTAGATGCTTAAGATTCTTCGACCTATTCAAAAATTGTACGAATATAAAGATATTAAATGCAAAATCTTCAACAAGTGGGATCTAGAAGAGCTCTCTTAAAGATCTCTTGTTCTCAATTGTTCAAAAGTCAAACCCCAAAGAACCAATCTATAGATAGATGTCTGTCCTAAACTAGTTGCAGGCAGTATAAATTTGAGGTTTTACACTCTAAAGTTGTCATTTCTAAATGAATTATTATTTGTTGATTCAATGTTGAGCAAAATCCCTACATCCAAGATAGATTAATTCAATAATTCTGCTATAATTAACTGAAACAGAACACCCTCCACAATACTTTCAGGGTGTGTTTAGCACAACTTATTATAATTGGTTCCCAAAGAATCAAATTCTAAAACTTCGTAAGTTCAATTCGCAACTAAAATAAGTTCCAATAAGTTAAGTCAAATTCAATTGAATAGAACGCACCCTTATAAATCCTGCCGCATAGCATGAAACAACTAAAGAGCATATTAGACAGAGAAAGGCTAATCCCAAAACCTGAAGAAAATCAGCTATAATATATCCAATTTTTTTCTCACATTTCTTTCACCAACATCATTTAGATCATCCAACACTACGAAAATCAAGAAAACTGCAAAAATCAAACAGCAAAAAATTGCAGGACAAAAATTCAAGAAAAAAAATAAAAAATCAAAATGTTGTACCTTTCAACGATGTACATGAGCGTATCATCATCACAAACATACTCCAAATAAATATCAATCAAACAACCACCACTACGATCAACAGCGAATCGGGTCATAACATTCGGGTCATAAGGCAAGTCCATATAAGCATCTTCCAAAGTCATGTCAATGAATTTGAACATGGAAGGTTTTTTGCAGAGATTACGAAATAACAAGCAAACTTTCTGAACATTTTCGATTACATGAATGGTGCTTAATTTGGAGAGGATTAAGAACCAAACTTCTTCAGGAAGCTCTAACCAATTAGGGGAGTTCTGAGATTGAAACTTCCTGCATTTGAAGTTGGCTGATTTGATTGAATTTGAAAGTTGGGGGAATTGGGGATTAGGGTTAGGGTTAGGGTTTGGATGAGGAGAGGAGATTGAAGACATGGTGAACAGTGGAGCTGAGTTGAGGAAGAGAGGGTTAGTTGTTCATTGGAGTGAGAAAGCGGGGGAAATTAACAAAGGAGAAGTTTTATTTACGGAGTGTAATGTTCGGGCCATTTTGGGCCCTATATTAACTATATGTACTTCTGTATATGGATAAACAATACAGTAATAGATATCTTAAACGGAATTTGATCTCTGATTTTTGGTATCACTCTAAGGCTTTGTTTGTCAAAGAAATTTTTGAAAAGCTTTTAGCTAATTGAACACTATTAGAGGTTTGATTATATTAAAAAGCTAATTTTGGTGTTTGGTAAATAGCTTATGAAAAGAGCTTTTTGGGGTCGAGCTTTTTGGGGTCAAAAAACTCTTTTAGAAAAAGCTCTTATAAGAGCATTTTGAAATTAGCTTATTGAACAATTAGTTTTTTTTTAAGTATTAAATACATTGAAACAGCTAACAATAATCAACTATTTATCAAACACTTTTACACAATCAATTAGTCAAATCATCTAATATAACCAGTTAATATAATCGGCTATATCAACCATCAGCTAACAGCTAATTACCAAACAAGGCCTGAAACTAATTGACACTTATCAAACTCGAGAACAAAGTATCATCCCTACAAGTTCTCTAGATATTATGAGATACAGATGTATGGAAAGAACTTGAACAAGTTTTTTTTAACTATTTTATTCTACCCATCTATCCTCAAAATGAAAGTCTCATTTTTGTTTTCACAAAACTTTTTTCCTAAATAAAATTCTTATTTCACCTTAAATTATTATTTATTCACTTTTAAAAGTTTTAATCAATCAAGCTCTATTACTTCTTTTTTTTTTTAGCAACTTGTAATCAATCAAAATTCACTATTTTGTTTTTTATATTCACATTTAATCAAACAAACATTGCAATCTTATTTTTCTTATTTACCTTTCTAAAAACATATGCAAAAGACAAATAATACTTTTAAGTGGGAACAGAGGAAGTACATATTATATACAAGAATTATACCATTAACTTTAATTAATACAACAATAAAGATTTATATAATATGGAGTATTGACAAGAAGGTTAAATAGGGTTGCAAACGATCCGAGTCGAGCCGAGTTTTAGTCTGTTCGAGCTAAGCTTGATAAGAATTATTCATGTTCGAACTATCTCGAGCTTTTAAAAATCTTGTTCGAGCTGGGCTCGTTAAAAATTTGGCTTGTTCGAGCTTTGTTCACGAACATACTCGTTTGTATTTCGAGTTTAAGTTCAAGCTTAAACGGGTTTAAATCGGGCTTTATTAAATAAACGAGCCCTAATTTATCATTAAAAAAATAGTTCTTTCAAATTTTAACATATTCATGTAACTTTATATAAGATGTTTATATTCTTTCTATAGAAAAGATAATGACGGAGTTTTCATGCCTTTACATAATAAAATAATTAGTATGTACGAATAAAAGATATATAAATTGTTCGAATTTTAATTGGGGGTGTAAAAACTTATAAATGGACTTAAACGAGCTTTTCATGAACATACCGAGTCGAACATGACGTTGTTCGAGCTTTGTTCATCTATTTTACGAGCTTAAAATTTTTGTTCAATCTTGTTTGTTAGCTTAACAAACGAGTTTTGACCAAGCTTGTTTGCGAGTAGTTGACGAACGTATTAGCTCATTTACACTCCTAAGGTTAGAAAAAAGCATAATCATACTTCCTCCGTTCTTTTTTTATCGCATCACTTACTATTTTAGGAAGTTTACTTATTATTGCATCATTTCCTTTTTAGAATAAAAAATATGTATGTTCACACTGCAAATACCCAACATACCCTTACTTTTTCACACTTACTTTTTATTTTATCTTACATTACATGGACAATTTTGTATTTTTACATTTCTCTCTCTTACTTTTTTCCACTACCCAAATTTTGCCTCCAAAACCCTATGATGCAATAAAAAAAAACGGAGGAAGTAGTATTTATTAAGTATATAAATAGAAGTTACAGTATCAACTCAAGCTGAGTTTGATGATAATTTTAACTTAGAAATTTAAGAGCAAAAAAGCTCATAATTCGGTGCGAGTTCGATTGCAAGAGTCATGAGCCAAGCTTGGTCTCAGGCCTCTTAGATTAGCACCCTTAATTTAGGGAGAAGTGTAATCTTGGTGAATATTGTGTGTATGGCTTAATATAAAAGTGACGATTCTACCATTATGACTTGTTGACAGTACTCGAAACCGTACAAATTTCTGCAAAAAAAAGTTGCAACTCTGCATGGGTACTGGGTAGTGAAGATTAAAGTACGGAATTTAACATTATACAGGAGTAATTGGAGAAATTATCAAAAACTACAACAGAAGAAAATGTCAGAATTCATAACTGTACAAGTTAAATAGAACTTGTAATCTTAAATCCCATCCATAAGTGCACAACAGAACAAGATAGGCAGTAACAGCAACTACAAAGTTTCTAAAAAAGGCAAGGACTGGCCATATCGCCCATATGATATCTTACAAGAACTAGGCCTAGCATAAACGAGGACGTGCAACAGACTGCACCCCACCAACAAAAGAAGGATATATAACATTGGATGCAACCAAGCCAAAATTACAAAAACAGATTACAAAACAGGGCGCACACGGTCTTTCTTTCGTAGCTTCCCAACTGTAACAAGGCAAAATCATTCCAAGAAAAACAGTAAACATGGTTTTCGATCCAGCAAGGCCACAAAGGAGCTGAAAATCTCAGTAAAAGGTTAAGGCATCAATGAATCAATCCATTCATCATAGTCCATATCTGGAGGAGGAGAGTAACTGGGCGACGAAATACCAGAACAGCAATCACAGTACCAGTCAGGGTACTCATCACCATCGTCATTGTCGATGAATTCTTGGAGATCCATCTGACTGGGGAACTCGTTGATCGGATGCAGAGGCATATTTAGGGGCTGCAAATCATCAGCATGGGCATAATCATAAACATTATCATAGCCATAATAATATTCAGGTTCCTCAACATTGTCATGGTCAATGTATTCAAGGTCATCATCCCAGTCTGGATTGTCACTGCTAAACCTTGAACTCCCCCTGTCACACATCAAATACCCCGCCACCAAAGAGGGAGTATGAGTATTATCAGCATTACACTTGCAAGCTCGGTGGCTAAAATGTTCTAGAGAGGCATCAGGTGGTCGAAAGTGTTTGATATGTTCACATCTTTTACCCAGATCCCCCGATAAATCAATGTGAAAACATGCACGTATATCAAGGGATTCAAGAAGAGGACATCCTTCAAGAATCGCTTTCAAGCCTTCATTTGTCATGTGGTTCCCAATTAGTTGAAGATTGTGTAAATTAGGCATGCTTCTAGCAATAGCCATGACTTCTTCATTGCATTTATGATTTTCAGGCCAAACATTATTCATGCTAAACGATTTCAATGAAGGGCAGGCACGACCAACAGTTTCAATAGTTTTTTCATAGAAACAACAGAAATTAAGCTCCACTTCCTCAAGCATTGGGAGCCTTTTGACAGCTTCAACCAGTTCCCTGTCAGATAAGTCAATATGGTGGCCAAGTCGGAGATGCTTAAGATTCCTTGCCCTGTAAAAAAAAAAGTTCATTAACAAAAAAAAACAGGTTGCAAACTATCAACAAAGAGGGTCTGGAAAACACTCCAGGCGGCCATATGTCACTAACATTGGAACCACGAAAGATATACATTATGACAAATTAATTGTTATGCGTTTCAGATTGTCATTTTCACGAGTCATTCGAAGGTGAAGATGTTTCCGTCATCATTGAGTAATTAATAGGATATAGATCTTTCATCTGCCCATTATTTTCCTTTTGAATTTTACTACGAAGAATTTGACACACCCTACAATGGATCTTACAAACAATATACAAAAATTAGGCCGAAAAAACAGTAGGATTCACGTCAAGAAATTCCCAACAAAACAAGCAAGCTACACATTGCCACACTTGTCACTTGATAACATTTGAGTTGATTTGACAAGAAAACTCTAAACCCAAAATAAAACCTGTTATGGCAAGTTTGCAATCAATCAAACAATACAATTAAAATAAACTAGGAAAAGGCCAAAATTCTTCATCAGGTTTAAATGAGATATTAATATTGAAACACAAAACAGTGACACACCAACAATACATGGAAAACAAGATATTAGTCCAAATATCACCTTTATTGCAAGTTTGCAATTAATCGGACAATACAAATCAATTACATAGCAACAATTCAAAACTACTAAAATCGGTTTAATTAGTAAAAATTAGTGTTATGAAGAAAAGAACTCATATAAAAAGATGGTAACAAGGCACTAGTCCAAATATTACATTCAATTTGAAAATTAGACTACTTCCAACCAGCAAATAAATCAAAAATATCATGAAAATTATTCAAGATAAGTATAATAATTTCACACAATTTCTGTATAATTATAACATTAAATCGACTAGTTCTAACAACTAAATATAACATGGATAGTATTATGGGGATAATAACAGAAACAGTATTTTTTTTTTCAAAAAAAAAATGGTTACCTTTCAACGATTTCCATTAAAGTATCATCATTGCAAAAAGTTTCCAAATAAATATCGACCAAATTCCCAGAACTTCGATCAACAGCAAATAGAGTCATGGAATTAACAAAATCAGGATCAACATCATCAATGTATCCATCTGGAAGAGTCATTTCAATGACATTGAACATTGAAGGTTGTTTGCAGATTTTGCGAAATAATTTGCAAACGATCTCAACACTTTCGATTATGTCAATTGTGCTAACTTTTGAGAGAATTATGGACCAAATTTCTTCTGGAAGATCTGACCAATTAGGGATGTTCATCTCTTTGTTGTGAGAAATTATCTTGTTGGGATTGAATTTGTCTGGTTCAGGGATTTGGGGGTTAGTGTTAGGGCTTGGTTTGGGCGAGGGAAGTGAAGAATCGGAAGACATGATGAACTATGAAATGTTTTAACGGACGGATGGAGTGAGGATTGTTCACTATAAAGACGTTCTAAAAAAACACGAAGGTCCCTTCCTTCCTTATCTACGTGACTACATGTATTTCATTTTTGGTAACCAAAGTTACATGTCTATTTATATTTAAAAGATGTATTTTTTTTGACAATATTTCACTCTTTTGATAAGTTGTTATAATTTTATTTTGTTCTTTTTTTTTTTTTTTTTTTTTTTTTGTATTTGACATCATTTTCCAATACTTTCTCTCTCCATCTCTTTAATAATTACCAACCATATTTTCTTTCTCTCTATCTCTCGATAACCACACATGTATATTTGTACTTCTCAATCATGAGTTTTAAGGTTTCTCTAAGTTCCTTAAATCCCGTGAAAAATAAAAAATAGGCTTGTAGATAAAGGACGGAGAGAGTACGGAATACGGATAACTAACCTAAAAGGCTCATTCAGCGTACAGAATTATTATAATACTCCCTCCGTTTTTATATACTTGCTCCATTTCTACTTTTTGTACTATTCATTTATCCTACTTTGACTAATGTTTGTAATTTATACATAAGAAAAAATATAGTCTTGTGGGTACTTGTTGGAATCGTCTTAATGACTAGATTATTAATTATTAATTGATAAAATTTATACTTATTAATAATTAAAGGTATAATTGATCAAAGATTTAAATCGACATATGTGTCCACGAGAAATTGAGCAAGTATTTAAAAATGGAGGGAGTAATAATTTCTAAAGTTTTGTATGCTTTTGAATAATTAATGAGTATGTGTAATATATATTTGAAAATGATGGAGTAAGACACTTAGATGAATGTTTTACTCCATTTTTTAAATAGCGGCATATGGAATAAGACACTTTTGAATATTCCATTTTTAAATAGTAGCATGAACGCATTTAGAGTAATGAATTCAAAATGAGGCTACTAATGAAGGGGGGAAAAGATTAAGGGACTAAAATTGAAGGCAAAATGGACAATTAATTTTGATTAAGGTTGATTTAAAGAAGGGAGATGAAGATGAACTGCATGGGAGATGATGAAGCTCGAGATGCAATTCTCTTCTATTAATTTGGATTTTTGTGGGTTAATTAATATTTTAAGAAAAATGAAAAATTCAGGAAGCATAATAAAGGAGTTAAGAAGATAGGAAGCTTAGACATGTGGCTTTTTCTGGGTTGGTAAAGTGTTTAAGATAAGGAAGTGTCATAGAACAATGACAAATCTGTTTTTGGGTTTGAGTTTATATGTTAGGTGTAAGTGTGAGAAGTGTTTGTCTCACATTAAAAAAAAAAGTAAAGGACTTTCACTTTATACCCCAAGCGGGTTACTCCTCGTCAATTAATTGTAGGATGGAACCTCGTTGTGGGCTTCTGGGTTGTGTTCTCCCCCATCTGTTATAAAAAACTGGTATCTGAGCTAGGTTTGATCTGGTCGCACCATCTGTGTTAGGTCTTATGGTGTTAAGGACCATCTCTGAGTGCCGCCTTGCCTTAGAGCTGGGCTCTGTATGTTCTAGGTGCAAATCTGTTCAAGGGGGAGTGTATAGGCTCACACTTGAGGGGGAGATTGTTAGGTGCAAGTGTGAGAAATGTTTGTCCCACATTGAAAAAGAAAGTAAAGGGCTTTCGTTTATAACCCAAGTGGACTACTCATCTTATTGCCAATTGGTTTTAGGATGGAAGCTCGTTGTGGGCTCTGGCTTTGTGGGCTTCTGGGTTTCTCTCCCTCATAAGTGTCATTTATGACACATTTTAGGGCGTTTCCCCCCCTTAGTTTTAGGTTTATTTTGGTGTTTCTTTGTTATTTCTATTCCTTTTAGTCTTGTTTTAGTTATCTTTGTCTTATTTTATAGTTTTAGGCCTTAGTTGTGAATAATATGCTTTTTGCTCAGTTTCTAGCTTGATTTGCGTGTCTTTCTATGTGTTCTTTCACTCTTTTCTCTCTTGGTCTATTTGTGTAGGTGCTTGACGCTTTCTTCGATGCTTATGACCCGAGAGAAGGTAAGAAAGTTCAATAAAAGAAGCTTGAAGCTAAAAAAGAAGCTAAGAAGTTGACAATTGTAGCACTTAAGGCAAGAATCCTCCGAGCACCCCGAGCATCACCTCAAGCAGCTGAAGTTGGCAGCCAAGCAGCAGCATTGTAGCAGCACAACCAGCAGCTCGGCAGCCCAGGCCGCCGCGGGCGCGGTTCTTTGCTTTTCTCAGCCTTTGCAACTTCCTGGAGATGCCTCGGAGAAGCTGCTGCCACGGGCGCGGCTCAGGTAACCGCGCGCGCGGCTTTCTGGGTGTTTTTCGATCTTAATTTCGGGATTTCCTTCTTTCTCTTCTTGTATTATAAACAAAACGATTTCTTAGACTTCAATGGAGGAGGAAGTATTTACATTTTCTCTCTCCTCTAATCAGTTTTAGGCTTAGATTAGGTGTTTCTCTCTCTAGTTTAGGAGTAGTTTTAGAGAGAGAAAGCTTGAGATTTCAATGGAGATTTGAGAGTTTGAAGAAGCAATTTTGTGGATTCTCTTCTCAATTATTCAATGAGCTTTTCTAACTTTCTCTTACCTTTATTGCTTTGTTTAATTCTTGTTTTTGCTTAATTCTTTGTTGATTAGAGTAGATAATTAGTTTACTTGTTTGATCCTTGCTTTAATTCTTGTTTAACCTTGTTTTCCATGTTTTTCTTCATTATGTTTGCTTAGATTTTGTTCTAGGGAAATGGATGAAGGTTATGTTGATGAATTTATCGAGTGATTGATTGTGATTAGTATGCAATTGATTCTTGATTATTGTGTTTGGATGATGCTTACATTGATTAGAATCTTTTTAGCTAATTGATTCTAGGTACTTAATTGTGCTTTCAATCAATTGTGCGAAAGTGAGTTGATTGAGAGTCTAGATTCTTCCATACCTTTGCTAGGCTAGTTGCGCGGGAGTGAATTAGCTTAGTAGGATAATTAACATGCTTAATTGCGCGGGAGTGAGTTGAGTGTGTTGATCGTTCCTAATTGAGATCATGATCTTTTAATTGCATTTTGTTGTTGAATTCATTTATGTAATTGGGCTCCACTTTCCCTAGTTTATGTTAATTGCTTTAAGTAGTGTTTTAGTTGTTTCTCTCTCTATTTCACAACCTTCCTACTAGTTTAATTAGCTCAAATTAATACACTTAGTCCTTGTGGTTCGACCCCACCTTGCCACTATCTTGTGTAAACTTGGTAGAGTAAGATTAGGAATATAAATGGTAGTAGATTTGATCTAGGATAGTAGACCACGACCTATTATCCGGCGATCACTCCCTTGTGTTCTCCCCCATCTGTTATAACATTATCAATAAATCAATAACATATACTAAAACAGGCACCAGGAATGACACAGGTCATTTTCTGGTGTCGTTTTTTCCCTCCAAAAACCATTTTCCAAAAATAAATATATTTTAACTTTATTTTTCTTTTTATATCTTATTGATTGACAACTTAATTAAGTCTATAAATTATACTCAGTGTATATTTAATTTAGATATTATAATTGAGATTAAAGATTCTTATTACTAATATTAATATTATTTGCATTTTTTTTTTCCTGATATATTACAATCACATGGATTTAATTTATAGTATGAAAAAAAAATTACATTATATTGCATCAAATTGACTTTAACACATAAATCTACTATAACTATATATTATAATAAAGGTGAAACCAGAAATGACATATGTCATCTACTTTTAAAATAATTTCACGCCAAAATATTTTATTTTATTTTATTTTATTTTATTTTTGAATAGTTTGCCAAAGCTTCTTAGAGAATATTTTATACTATTCAATAATATCTCCCTTACTATTTGGTAATTATATTCCATCTATAAACATCCAACAAAATATTATTTGTTTATTTAATACTATGCAATAATAATTTCCTACATATAACTTTGTGATATAATCCATAATGTTTTTATTAGTCATGCATGTAATACTCTCACTATTTTCTTTAGTATGATATAATTTTATTTTTATTTTTGTAATTACGAATTTTTATCTTAATTTGCAATTTGACAGTTATTATAACTAAATATAGTGTTAAACTAATAATAAATAGTAAAATTACCGTGCATGGCACGGGACTTAATCTAGGTTATACTAATAAAGTATAGATAAGGTCATGTTCCCTTCATCTTATTTTTGTTGAATATAAATTATATTTACTGAAATGAAATTATATTAACTGAATATTACGTTTATTTTTTAAGGTGAAGTGAAAATGGCTTAAATTTGATAATATATGCTAGATTTAAGGCTTGTTTTGTTAATTTATTTACCTTATTTTCAATTATTTCAGGTGTAATAAGTTCAAATAAGTTATAAGAGTTACTCAAGTACAAATTACAATTAGAATTCCCCGACTAGCCATTCCTTCCAAAAAAAAAAATTACAATTAGAATATGTTTTAATAAGTCTAATAAGTTTAGATAAAAATAAGATAAGTTTAAATAAGTGAAAATTAGGTAAATTGAACACACTATAATTCACCTTTTCTGGAGTACTAAGACTCTTGTACTTATTTCATCAGATCATATATATATATATATATATATATATAAAAAAAAAAAAAAATATATATATATATATATTTTATTAGCGTTTTTTTTTAAAACAGATTTTACTACAATTAACATTTTTTTATTACTAAATATCTTTAATTCGTAATTAAAAAAAAAAATCAATCAATACAGATCTAATAATACCCCATTTCAACTATTTGATACGGAGTATATTTTTTGGTTAAATATAGTTTAGGTAAAGATGAAGTTTAGTCAAGTCAAGCTATAAGATCAAATTTTTAAAAATATTTGAATAAAAAATTATCGGACGTGACACAAGACTCAACCTTAGTAAATAATTAATCCTTTGCTTAAAAAAAGAAAAAAGTAAATATATTAATCCTTTGCGTAAAAAAAAAAAAATGCTTTGGAGAAACTCACATTCACAGATTCACTCCAACCATAAAACGGTAGAGCTATTGTATTATCGAAAAATCTAATGTGAGATGAAATTGAAAGCCTGTTGAACATTAAACCCAATAATATCAACAACCGGCAAGTTGGAACTTTGAAGGATCACGTCCACACCTTCCTAATCCTAAAAGTCTACAAAACTTAAATTAAGAGATGTGTATATTTCATTGTCCTTTCATTAGTGATTAAATTCTTCGTTTTGTAAGTAACATGAAAATAATTGAAGGGAAAAATTAACATCTTGTCATACAAGTTTTTTTTTTTCCTTTTTCTTTTTTTTTTTGAGTGTGTGTGTCGGTGCAAACATCTTGTCAACTCATAATTCTTGTATTTATTTATTTTTTTCCTTTCAAAGTTCACACCCAATTTAAAAGCTGGTAGAGAAACTACAGAATTACAGACAAGTAGACATAACATACGAAGTATTAAGAGTAAGCTGATATATAACTTTATCACTGCAACTATTTTTTTTCTTTGAAGGACGTTATCATTTCAACATACGTACGAAGTATTAAGATTATTACTCCGTAACGTGTACTGTAATTAATAGTCTTCAGCACAGTGCGATAATAGGAATAGTTAAAATATTTAGGTCTTGTTTGGATTGGGGGTAATAAAAGTCAAACTTGAAAAAACATAAGTAATTAGAGGTGTTGTTGTAGGAAACATGATGTTTACAAATGAAATAAAATAATTGTGCCACGAGGAAAAGAGAGAGATGGAGTAATTATTACCCTCATAATGAGGGTAATAGTTACCCACCATCCCCCTAGTGTAACTATTACCCCTAAAATGAGGATATTAGTTTCTCTTTTTTCATCTCATACCACACCATCACTACATAATTTTCTTTACAATCACACCATCAATATCTCCTCCTTTCCTATTTTCACTTTCATTTTGCTTAGTTTGACTTTTATTACCATAATAATACATCTCCCTCAATCTAAACATGCGCTTAATCAAGCATTCAAACCCCATTATTGCGTAGACTCTTTTGCTAAGTCCTACTGTACTCTTTTTTTTTTTGACTAGAATGCTAATACTACTTTCCTTCTTAATTAGTGCTTACCAGTTTGGCAGTTTTACGTACAAGTATTTGGTATTTTCATCATATAATATACAAAGCTAAGGCTCATTAAGCGAATGGCTGATATTCTCATGCTCAAAACTAATCTATGGCCCACAATAATTTACAAGTAAAATAGAGTAATTTTTGTTTAATAACTAATAAATCTAAATTATTTACAAGTGTGGGCTTCGACTAGAGGCACTAGCCCCTGAAGAACACGGAAAAATTGTCAAACTGAGCGTTTTTGGAAAACAATTTCCCAAACAAGACGCGTGGCAAAACTATTTACCAAACTAAGCTTTCAGGGTAAAACGCCAACCAGGGTGGCGTTTTACCCTGGGCAATTTTTTTTTTTTAATTTTTAGTCAAAGGTAAAACGCCATCAAGGGTGGCGTTTTACTGCTGGGCAAATTTTTTTTGAAAAAAACATTTACACAAAAACGCTAACGCCGTTGGCGTTTTATTTTTAACAAAAAAGCGCTAATGTCGTTGGCGTTTTAGAGTCGGGTATTTCTAACAGCATATATCGCTGTTCTTCGTTATTCAACCAAACCCCCAAATTGCAAACCCTAACCCCGCGCATACCAACTTCCAATTCTCCATATTTGAAGCAATTTCATCACATTCCGTAGCTTAGTTTTGCATCATAGTCAATAAAAATTAATCCTCCTTCTTTGTTCAACACTGTTACGCCCTACTTTCATCGAAATTGAGGTATGTCTTGAATTTAACTATTTTACTTGTGTATGATGTTTTTTGGGAATTTATGTTTGTAATTTACAATGTATGTACTATAGTGTTGTTCAAGTATGCGAAATATGTATAACTACATAATACATTGTTGTTTAATTATTGAAATTAAGTATAGTTATATGTATGTTGTATAATTTCGTATAATTTATATGAAGCATTTAGTTGTTGAACTACATATATGAAGCATTTAGGGAATTACGAACTACATTGTTGAGTTAAGTACATTTAAATGTATCTTACATTGTTAGATTAAGTAGGTAAGTTAGTATGTTGTTGAACACTGCGTTGTATGTACGCTTTGCTTGGGGATTTATTGGAATCATTGTGGTTTTAGTTGTGCATATGTGTCACCTAATATGTGGTCTGATGTTATGTAGAACATGGCTTCACAATTGATTGTTTTGTTATGCCGTTGGGGGGGTGATTTTGTGTGTCGGACCCAATGTCGAGTATAGAGGAGGAAAAATGGAACCGCTAGCATTGAAACCTTGTATGACTTACAATGATTTGTTGAAGAAAGTTTATACTATAATTGGTTCAAAGCCAACAAGTGTTGAAGTGAACATCAAAATGAGGTTTGAAAGTGTTAGCGGGATTCAAATCTTACCTGTTTTGAATGACGACCATTTGGAGGTTTTGAGGGGTGTCGTTACAATGAGGTCTCTTCCTACTGATTTGTATGTGGAAACGGTGCCTGTATGTACTCAACAACCAACATTTCTTCCATCATACAATGCAAGCTCTCTACAAATGCCCGCATATAACATTCCATCATCTGAATATGGAATGGGTTCTTTCAGTAGAATGTTACACGACGATCAATTTGACATTCCATTCAGTTCACAATTTACGGCGTCGGGGTCAATGCAGCAACCTAGTCCATCTACCTCAAACAATGACATTTCATCATCGATGCAGTTGCAAAGTTACTCTCCCACGCAAGAACATATTGAAACACCACCGTTTCAGACTTTGGTGAATGTTGAACTTGTTGTAAACAACGAGTTGTCTGTTCTTGATATGTATAATGACTTTGTTTTTTTTATTACAGTTATGGGCTTGGGAGCACATCCACGTTGGTAGGCCAGCTATGCCTGCTAGGCGTCGACGCGAGGAGGAGGAGGAAGACGATCAGGAGCATGCATATGAGGCGCCGCCACACCCACCACCGGACTTAGCATACGGTTGCCGGTATGTATGACTTATTGTTAAGTTATCCACATATGGTTTTAATTTTCTATTAATTTTGTCATGAACACTGTTATTATACATGTAATCAGGTGGCTAGGACGGAGACTTACTCGTGTGCATGCAGCAAGGGGTCTGCCGTATTATAGAGATGGATTCGACAGACTGAGCGAGTCTCAGGTTATAGTTCACTTTAAAAACTAATTTAACACCGTGTTCATTATTTTAATAAGTTAATTATGATGTTAACGACTGCTTGTTAATGTAGATGACGTGGGATCCGTACGTCCCTCACTTAGTCGATGCCATGCCCCAATATCTTCTTGATCACCAGATGGAGTGGCGTGCCATGACAGTGCTCATCTGTTTTGAGTTGGTGGAGGCTCACCTCCCCGACAGAGTCATGCGACAGTTCGGCCTTTGTCAAGCCATCCCCGCCCCGTGTGACACGAGTGTCCAGTTGCACAGGACAGACCGACGAGGAAAGGGGGAGGTTAATTGGGCAGTTCAGCATGCCCCTTACATTGACATGTGGGACCAGCGGCTGCAGCACGTCGCGGATGGTGCGTCTGTCCAAGGCCTGATGGAGTATCACGATCCATACATGGTATGGTACAGGAGCATTACCCGGCGCTTCATCAACCCTAACTACACCCCACCCTCAACGCATTACCACCCAGCTTTTGGAGACATCAGTGGATATGTGAGTTTTTTGTCATTTTTTCTTTTCCTCCAATTTATAGTTTCTTTAATTATTAAAATGGCTGATTGTTGACTAATGCAGGCGTCTGATATGCTTGCTATACATGATGCACTAGAAGTCTTGAGCATATCATATCCCACCATACCGCAGTTGGATGACATTCACGCAATGACTGTGAGTAGCTTACAGAGACATGGTCATGGCCATCTTATCCCCCAGGGCCGGGACCAATCACACCGCCGTTCACACCGTGAGGTAGGCAGCAGTAGTAGGGGACAGACTCACACGTCCCCTACAGGGTCCCCCCTGTTTTTTGATGATCAGGAAGATATCGCCATCCACATGTCTGCGCCATACTCATCTCAGGAAGGACCATCTTCCAGCCAACAGACTCCTCCCCAGACCTCTGCCCCAGATCCTTTCACAACGGTATCTCAGTACTACCGTCGTAGAAGACCGCGATTGGATAGACAACACTTACATACAATAGATGAATCGGGATCTTAGAACTTCTTTTATTAGTTGTAATCAGATTCTATAGTACATTGTATCCAAATAAATATTATCAATTTTACTAACCTTTTTAGTTCATTTTCTGTACATTATCAACTTCACCATACGCATTCATTCTTTTCATTGTATTGGTTGCTGGTGTTGTTGTTGTTGCTGGTGTTGTTAATGTTGCTGATGTTGTTGCAGTTATTGTTGTGGTTCCTGTTGTTAAGGTTGTAGTAGTTGTTGTGATTGTTGTTGATGCTCTTGTTAGGGTTGTCGCTGTTGCTCTTGTTGGGGTTGTCGCTGTTGCTCTTGTTGGGGTTGTCGCTGTTGCTGTTGTTGTAGTTGTTGTGGTTGTTGCTGCTGTTGTTGTTGCAGCTCTTGTGGTTGTTGCTGTTGTTGTTGCACCTCCTGTGGTTGTTGCTGCTGTTGCTGTGTAGCTGTGTTTGTGTGCAGAGATAAAACGCCAACCATGGTGGCGCTTTAGGGGGGTAAATTATTTTCAAAAAAATCACTCAGGGTAAAACGCCAACGACGTTAGCGTTTTTGTGTAAATGTGTTTTTTTAAAAAAATTTGCCCACCAGTAAAACGCCACCCTTGATGGCGTTTTATCCTTGACTAAAAATTAAAAAAAATAAATGCCCAGGGTAAAACGCCATCATGGTTGGCGTTTTACTCTGGAAGCTTAGTTTGGTAAATAGTTTTGCCACGCGTCTTGTTTGGGAAATTGTTTCCCAAAAACGCTTAGTTTGGCAATTTTTCCGAAGAACACCATATATAAAGAATTTTGTCTTGCACATGTGCTAATGTGTAAGGAACTTAACCAATAAAATGTAATGGTGTGTAGTCCGGATGTTGGGTGTTGGGTGATGTCTTGGGCATTTGGATTGCTAGTTTGTACTTGTTTAAGTTTTTTTTGTTATGAATTACTTGGTATGATTTATCAAAAAAACTAAATTTATTATTTTTTTTTATTAAATTTAAAATATACAATTTTTTACACTTCAAAATTAACTTGCTAAATTATTACGTATATCATTATGCCAACAAATTTGAGTACTAGTCCTCTTATCCAAGTTACTTGTAATTAACTATTTCGTACAATTTTTTTGGGTTAAAAACAAAATAAATGGATAGATAAGTTAGTAAGGTGTATAATGTAATTTTTGTTGGTCTTGAGTTTTAAGTCTTTGTAGTTCTAAATAAGTATAATCATCATCTAAAAGAACAATCTAAAATGATGTATAATTTTTCCATAAAAGACAATAACAGTCTAATCCATATTTCGATATCTAGAGTTACGACATATATCTCTTACGTTTAATTTAATAACCTTGAAATTTTAAACTAGTTATTTAGTGTATTCACTCACACTTATTTTATCATCTTTTGATATTGGTTATGTCATTATGTTCATTAACAAGCGTGAAATCCTCATCGTTACAAATGAGAAAGTATTAGTTTGGTAGCTACCAGCCAGGCAGCCACATATATGAACCCCACCACTTGACATTGACCATAAAATCCCGTTATATTACTTCACAAACGTTGACATTGCTTGCATACATCAAATCTCCCATTAAGTATTACTTGTAGTATTTCTTGATTTCTTCCCTTTTCCTTCTACCTTCATAAATGGATGTCTTAGTGTCATCTTCATATATAATTACCCTTGTATTAATGACCAGCTTACCCACATCTTTTTGCCGGCTAAGCAAAGAGTTCAAGACTTGCAGTAAGCCATTTAACTGTGGAAACATAACAAATTTAAGCTATCCTTTTTATGGTTTAGATAGACCACAATATTGTGGACACCCTAAGTTTGAGCTTTTTGGTTGCAATCAAAACTCCCAGCCAATTACCATGATAATGTTGTCGCAAACTTTTATGGTTTTGGGCATCAACTCGACGTCTTCCGCCATGAATGTAGCTAGGGAAGATTTTAGAACCAGGTCCGGGTGCCCTGCCTCCCTAGTTAACATCACAATTGATTTCTCCATATTTCAATATACACCTCTTGATACAAACCTCACCTTGTTTTACGGTAATTGTTCCTCAGTGTGTAATCTTACGACGTTCAAAGTATTCCCTTCTTGTCCTATGAGTCCTTCGGAGACTTTACCAATTTGTCTCTTGACTAAAAAGTCGATGTTGAAAAGTTATATCTCAACAGCTTCATGTCCAAACCATCTTTTCCTACCAATCCACTTGTCGGACAATTTGATCATGGATAGGGTGGGAGATTACATACCTCAAGCTGCTTGGAATGGTACGGAGCTCAAATGGAGCGCGAATAATGGTTTGTGTGAAGCATGTCTTAGATCAGGAGGGCAGTGTGGGCATGAGCCACATTCAAATAAGTTCTTCTGCTTCTGCACTGATGAATCCAAGTGCCCTTTCCCAGGTAATATATATGTTGCTAATATATATATATATTAGCATATTCTTAAATACACTTAATAATTCGACTTCTTTGATTTAATGTAATAAAACAGGAGATCCTCCACACAAGGTCACTCTAACAAAGGCAAAGATTGTGCTACTAGGTGATTTACCTCTCTATGTTTTATCCCCTTGTTCCATATTACAACATTTATTTTGACATATCTTAGGCCCTGCTTACTTCACCTTAAAATAATTTCAGTTAGTAAAAATATTTTCAGTTCAGTAAAAATATGTTCAGTTCAGTAAAATTCAGTAAAGCCCTATTCAATTCACCTTAAAAAAAAATAATATTTAGTAAAGATAATTTCAGTTCAGTAAAAATAATTTCAGTTCAGCAAAAATAAGTTCAGTTCAGTAAAAATAATTTCAATTCAGTAAAATTGGTAACTCTAAAGAAAAAATATAATAGAAAATCAGTAAAATAATTTCAATTCAGCAAAACTAATTTCACTTCAGTAAAAAATAATTTCAGTTCAGTAAAAATAATTTAAGTTCAGCAAAAATAATTTCAATTCAGTTAAATTAATTTTAGTTCAGCAAAAATAAGGTGAAATGAACGGGACCTAACTATAAAGAAGAAATATAATATAAAATTAGTAAAAATAATTTCAGTTCAGTAAAAATAATTTCAGTTCAGCAAAAATAAAGTAAAGTGAACGGGACCTTAAAACTTACAAATTACATACTCAATATATGTTTATACCGTGATCTAAGCAAGTCACTAAAAATGATTCTGCATAACATCATCTCAATCTCATATCTATGAATAATTGTATATGTAGAGTTAAAAAAAATAAAAATAAATAACCTCTAGATAGCTTCCACTTCTCCAACTTAAAAAAAATAAAAAAAGACTTTTCTATAACTTCTACAAGTAATATTTTTTTCCAAAACATACATATTACACATATCCTATGCATTAGTACGGGTACAATCTAGTTATAATTGTGAAACGGTCTCATACACAATTACTTATAATCCAGTAGTTTATAACGTCTTCATATATTAATTGAATGTTTCCATTTTCTGCCCTACTACATTGGCAGCAATTTAGGCATATCTACATAATAAAATGTTCTGGTTGAATGCCTTGCAGCTTCTTTTTCAGCTGTTGGAATTGGAATTTTAATTGTTTTAGTCATCTATCTAAGAAGATGTGCATTAAAGGAGGAAGATTCTCAGCAGAGAAGGAAGACAGATGTTGAGGCTTTCTTGAGGAATCATGGGACTGTTGCCCTACAAAGACACACGTACTCTGATCTGAAGAAAATAACCAATACCTTCAGAGATAAACTAGGCAAAGGAGGTTATGGTGTTGTCTACAAAGGAAAGATTCCAAACACCGAGTGTCTCGTGGCAGTAAAGATATTGAAAAATTCACAAGGAAGTGCAGAGGATTTCATCAATGAGGTTGCAAGTATCGGAAAGACAAACCATGTTAACGTTGTCACACTGTTGGGTTTTTGCTATGAGGGTCGAAGAAGAGCTCTTGTCTATGACTTTATGCCTAATGGGTCACTTGAAAAGTACATGTATGGAAGAAATAACCAATATTCGTTACCATGGGATAAATTATTTCAAATCGCAGTTGGGATTGCAAGAGGGTTGGAGTACTTGCATCGCGGTTGTAACACAAGAATCCTCCACTTTGACATTAAGCCACATAATATCCTCCTAGACGAAAATTTCTGTCCAAAGATTTCTGATTTCAGCCTTGCTAAGTTATGCCCACAAAAGGAGAGCATCATGTCAATATCTGCACCTAGAGGAACTGTGGGATATATTGCTCCTGAGGTATACCTCAGAAGTTTTGGCGGTGTTTCCTACAAGTCAGATGTTTATAGCTATGGGATGTTGGTTCTTGAAATGGTTGGGTGTAGAAGAAAAGCCGAGACTGAAAGTGATGAACATAGTAGCGAACAATATTTTCCTCAATGGATATACGAACAACTCGAAGCAGGGGAAGCAGTTGATGAGCAACAGATGTTGAGTTCTGATGAGATGGAGATCCAGAAGAAATTGATTTTAGTGAGTTTATGGTGTGTGAAAACCAACCCATCGAGTCGGCCAGAGATGAGTAAAGTGGTGTAAATGTTAGAAGGAACCATTGAATCACTACAAGTTCCTTGCATCTCTTCGCTTGCTCCCTCTTCCTCCACGCTCACTAGATCTTTAAGGTTACAGTCACAAACTTCATCAGATTAATAAAATCTGACACCTGCACTATAGTTAAAGCAACCAAAAAAAAGGGGCATTCTTGTCATACTCATGTAATTAGACCAACTTTGGTCAATGCCTTTAGCTTAACAGCATTATGCAAACCTCAGTTTCAGATTATTTGCAACAATTTAGCATAAAGTATGATTAGAAAATACTTCGTATCTAATTGTTACAAATAATTTGAAACGGAGGTAGTACTTTGTTAGTTTGTTTCTAATTCCCGATCCGTGTGGCTTTTTATAAAAGTAAAGAATCTAGCATTACAAGTTACAACCTTAATGACAGTACTTGAGCCCGTAACAATTTCTTAAAAAAAAAAAAGAGGCTGTACTCTGCAAGGGTAAGTGAAGATTGAAGTACAAACGATAGTAGTTGGAGAGCTTATCATAAACTACTAGAAAATGTCCGAACTCAGAATTGGATATATGACACATATTTTCAAAATGAATAAAAAGAACTGAATATAATCTTTAAATCCTTTAATATATTTATATGAGTAGTATGTGCACAAGATAGGCATTAACAGGTTACTATGAAATTTCTAGAAAGGCAAGAAAAGGCCATACAATATGCCTAGCATTAGCTAGGACATGCAACAGACTGCACCTGGCACCCTACCAACATTAGAAGGACCAAGATAACATTCGATGCAACCAAGCTAAAATTAGAAAATCAGATAAAAAGGGCGAACGTGATCTTACATCCATCAAGGCTAATAACTATAACTAGGCAAAATCATTCCAAGACAAACTGTAAACACTGTTGTCGAACCAACAAGGCCACAAAGGAGCTGAAAATCAGTAAAAGGTTCATCAATGAATCAATCCATTCATCATAGTCCATACCTGGACGAGGAGAGTAACTGGGCGATGAAGGAACAGAATAGTCATCAAAGACATATTCAGGGTCCTCCCCATCACCATGGCCATTGACCTCATTGTCAATGAAATCTTGGACATCATTCCAGTTCTCGTTGATCAGATCCGGAGGTATGGGTAGGGCATAATCAAAATCATAATCATTGTCATAGTCATAATCATATTCGAGTTCCTCATCCTGGTCAATGTATTCAAGGTCATCATCCCAGGCTGGATAGTCACTAATCCTTGAACTCCCCCTGTTACATATCAAATGCCCTGCCGCGACAGAGGGAGTATGAGTTTTATGAGAATTACACTTGCAAGCTTGGTGCCTGAAATGTTCTAGAGAGGCACTAGGTGGTCGAAAGTGCTTGATCTGTTCACACCTTTTACCCAGATCCCCCGATAAATCAATGTGAAAACATGCGCGTATATCAAGGGATTCAAGAAGAGGGCATCCGTCAAGAATCGCTTCCAAGCCTTCATTTGTCATGGAGTTCCCAATTAGTTGAAGACTGCGTAAATTAGGCATGCTTCTAGCAATAGCCATGACTTCATAATTGCCTTTATAATTTTTAGGCCAAACATTATTTACGCTAAACGATTTCAATGAAGGGCAGGCACGACCAACAATTTCAATAGTTTTGTCATAGAAACAACAGAAATTAAGCTCCACTTCCTCAAGCATTGGAAGCCTTTTGACAGCTTCAACCAGTTCTCTGTCAGATATGTCAACATGGTGGCCAAGTCGGAGATGCTTAAGATTCCTTGATCTGTAACAAAAAAAGTTCATTAACAGTAAATAACAGGTTGCAAATTATCAACAAAGAGGGTCTGGAACACACTCCATACCATATGTCACTAACATTGGAACCACAAAAGATATACATTATGACAAATAAAACGTAATACGTTTCAGATTGTCATTTAAACGAGTCATTAAAAGGTAAAGATACTTCTGTCATCATTGAATAATTAATTGGATATAGATATTTCACCAGCCCATTTTTGTTTACTACGGAGTACAAATTTGACACACCACACAATGGAGTCATCTTACAAACACTATAGAAAAATTAGGCCAAAAAAACAGTAGGGTTTAAGTAAAAAAATTTCCCAACAAAACAAGCAAGCTACACATTGCCACACTTGATAACATTTGAGTTGATTTGACAAGAGAACTCTAAACCCAAAAATAAAACTAGTCATGGCAAGTTTGCATTCAATCCAACAATACAATTAAGATAAACCAAACAGTAAGACGTTTTATTGAAACACAAATCAATTACATTACATACCAAATATACAATACTATTATAAGTGAAGAACTCGTACTCTAACATAGATGAAAACAGGGCATTAGTCCTATATTGCCATCATAGCAATCAAATTAGTAAACATAAGATATATTAAGTAAATAAACTCATAACAAATAGATAAAAACAGGGAATTAGTCCAAATAATTAAATTTAGGTATTCGACTACTTCGGTACCTTCCAACCAGCAATAACATTGGGTTCAATGCTTCATCATAGATAAATACTTCGTATATAAACAATAAAAATTTGCAAAATTTCTCAAAAAAAAAATAAAAATAAAAAATAAAAAAAAATGAAATACCTTTCAACGATATCTATTAAAGTTTCATCGTCGCATAAAATTTCCAAATAAATATCAACCAAATTCCCAGAACTTCGATCAACAGCAAATAGAGTCATGGAATTAACATAATCAGGATTATCATCATCAATGTATTCATCTGGAAGAGTCATGTCAATGACATCATACATTGAAGGTTGTTTGCAGATGTTGCGAAATAATCTGCAAACAATCTCAACACTTTCGATTATGTCAATTGTGTTAACTTTTGAGAGAATTATAAACCAAATTTCTTCTGGAAGATCCAACCAATTAGGGATGTTCATATCTTTGTTCTGAGAAATTCTCTTGTTAGGGTTTGGTTTGGGTGAGGAAAGGGAAGAGTCGGAAGGCATGATGATTGATGAAAAATGAATTGTTTCAACGGACTGAAGGAGTGAGGATTTGTTCGCTATTAAGAGGTTATATATAAAGACCAAGGTCCTGTTTTTTTGAACTACTTCGCCTTACCTTATCCGCTCTGCTCTATTTAAAAATAATAATTATAATAATAAAAATAATTAATATTTAATAAAAATAATAATTATAATTAATAATAATAACTAATATTTATAGATAATAATAATTAATATTTAATAATAATAATAATTAATATTGTATAATAATAATTAATATATAATATTCATTGATAATAATAACTAATATTTAATGATAATAATTAGTATTTTATGTTATTAATTAATGTTATAAAATAATCTAAAAAAATTAAATAATAATAATAATGGTAAGACTTAGCGTTGTGTTCTTTGCTACCGGTTGGGTGTTCCCTTGTTCTCCGTTTCGACACCTTGTTCTGCTTGCTCAAGGGTTTTCGATGGGGATATTTTTGGGGATCATGCAGTGTCTTGTGCTGGGATGGTGGGTATTAAACATCGGCACAACGTTGTTCGTGATACCTTTGTTGATATTTGTTTCCGCTCTGGGATTTCTGCAAGGAAGGAGGTCAACGTTGGGTTGACTGGAGGGAACGACGGGGCTCTTCGACCAGCAGATGTGTTGCTTTATTCTTGGGATAGAGGCCTAGATGTATGTGTTGACTTGACGGGGTTTTCTCCATTGACACAATCTGGGTTGTCTGACTTCGTTCCTGGTTGTGTTGTGTCGGTTGCGGCTCAGCGGAAGCGAGACAAGTATGGGACGCGTTGTAGGACTATTGGCTATGGTTTTCTTCCTTTCTCCTTTTCTTCATTGGGGGAATTAGAGAAGGATGTTGTTGCGTTGCTGAAGCGAGTTCAGGCGTTCGCTAAGACGCGGGATATTGGTGCTCGTGCGGCTCCTCACATCTTCAACAAGATTGGGTTCGCTATAGCTAGAGGGGTGGGGGCCCAGATTGTATCTCGGCTCCCCACTAATTTCTTGTAAATCATTTGACTTTGTAGGTTTTTGTTATAATAATAATAATAATAATAATTATTATTATAATAATAATAATAATATTAAAAATAATAATAATAGTAGTAGTAATAATAATAATATTTAAAAAAAAATAATAAATAAATAAATAAATAATGATAATAATGCGATAATAATAATAATAAATAAATTTGCTCTGCTTTGCCCAGAAGCTCAAAAGAACAGGGCCTTAGACGCTCTATAAAGATTACGGGATACAAAGACATAATTTAGTCATTTTTTTTAAACGGAAAAAATGTTTTTGTAATTTATGCCCTGTTTAGTTCACCTTATTTTTGCTTATTTGAATTTATCTGATCTGGTTTGATCTGATATGATTTTATCTGATCTTATTGTTTGGTTTGACCAAACTTTGACCTTAAGTATACAATAATCTGTAAGGAAAAAATATATCAAATGGGATCTTGTTAGATTCGTAATAATGTTTATTTTATTAATATGTAATTTTCATAATTTTTTTCATTACAAAATTTAAGATATTTAGTGATAAAAATTGCACATAAAACGATGATCTGATATGAACTTTTTTTTTTCTAATATGATCTTATCTGAACTTATTTCTTCTGATCTGATCTGAACTGAACGTATTTTTTCTGAAATAAGTTGAACTAAACAAGGCCTTAGTCTGTTAAAAAAAAATAAAAAAAAATTAAAAAAGGCCTTAGTCCTTGTTTAGTTCAACTTATTTTTATTTATTTCCGAGAAAAAAAAAAGTTCAGATAAATAAAAACAAGTTCAGATCAGATTATCGTTTCATGTGCGGTTTTTTATCGCTATATTTTACTTGATATATTTTTACCTTATACATTATCGTACACATAAGGTTAAAGTTTGGTCAAATCAGACAATCAGATCAGATAAGACCAGATCAAATAAGCAAAACTTAGGTGAACTAAACACGCCCTTATTTATTTATTTATTTTTTTATGTAATGGCTACCCAACTATCGTAGTTGGGTATTTATCGTTTTATTTTATCATTATTTTATTAGTGATTATTTTTTGACAAATTTTATTAGCTAACTTATCTGTTGCTTGATTAGTATCTATGTAACAATACTTTCTCCGTTATTTAAATATTACACCATGTTAACTTTTACATTGTTCGCCTGATTAGCTTTGGCTTTTTATTGAACACTTAGATAATCTACTCGTACAATACCCTATCGTTTATTGGCCAAATTGGTAAAAAGAAAAGACTCTTAGCGACAAATCGGTAAAAAAATTGCTCCGGCGACAAATTGGTAAAACCTAACCTCAAATGACAATTTGGTAAAAAAAACAATAAATCTCAGACAACAATGAAGCCTAAAAATACAAATTATCCAACAAACTACTTGTGATTGCTATCGTTTTCGTGGATTTTTGTTCTTTTTTAAACATATTTTTCCACCTAAATTTCCAACCCTTTATAAGGAAATAAAAATTTGAAGAAAAAAAAGGTTTAAATACTAATTTTTACTTAATTTTTCTACCCATTATTAATATTTTTTTTTAAAAAGGACTGGAATAAATTTATGTAATTCAAAATTTAGCAAAATAAAAAGGAGATGACATAATAATTTAAATTTTAAATGAAAAAAATAAATTAAAAAAACACAAAACAATTTAATTAGGACTTTTTGAAGAGTTTGCCGGAAAAAAAAAGATTATTTGGTAAATGTTTTATTTTATTTATTTATTTATTTTTTTTAACTAAACTGTCGCATAATATTAACTTTTTTTACCAAATTGTTGTGAAGGGTATTTTTTTTTTTTTTTACCAATTTGGTCAAGTGGCCTGTAAATCTCCCAAAAAAAAATTAAAAAAACATATGTAGTACTCCATAAAAAGGAAAATTTGTAAATTGCAGTCATTTAAAATTTGTATTTTGTAAATTGCAGCCATTTTAAAAAAATTGTAAATTGCAGCCCAAAAGTACTAATAACGTGTTAATTGCCACCCAAATCAATTTTTCTTCGATTTGCGTGCTGAAAAAATGTTCCTTACATGGTTTAGGGGTTAATTTAGCCCTTAAGGATCCGAATTGAACTCGGAATTAGCAAAAAAAAATTAACGTAAGTGTCTCGTTTTACGTATCAAAAAATGTATTAATTTGTGTGCAACTATTTTTTGCCGTGAAATTGAGGTACTTAAGTTAATTTTTTGCCAATAGCTTTGGTCCTTTAAGAACTAAAATGACACCTAAAACCTTAACAAAACATTTTTCGACACGTAAATCGATGAAAAATTAAATTGAGTTGCAATTTACAATTTATTTTTCAATAGTTGCAATTTGCAAAATACAAACTTTAAATGACTGCAATTTGCAAATTTTGCCCCTTAAAAAAAAAAAAAAAAACCTACGGTGCTATCGTTGTCATCTGAACTACCCAACTCGTAAAACTTTTCCCGCCATATCTCTCATACAGTCATACCAATTCCAGTACCTCCCCTTCAAAACTCAAAACTCAAATCACGCAAAAACTCCAAATATTCTCTTGATGTTTCATTCTAATGCTGCAATGTTTTCAAATGTAAGTCTCTTGAAGAATTTCCATTTCTCAATAAAGCACACCAAATGTTTGATGATTTGCCTCAATGAAAATAATTTTATTTCTTTGAATTCTGAGTTCTAAAATTTTGAATCTGGCAATTTGATCATTAATCCTTTATTTTGTTCATTAGTTTGTTTTAGGTTGTCAACTTATCATTAATTTTGTTCTTTGTCTTTGGATAATCGGTGTACTCTCAGAGTTGTTATGGAGGTTTCAATTTCTTGTTTATTTTCCAATTGCAGGATTTGCTTTGTTCCTTCTTCTGTTGCTTCGCTGTTGATGATTTGGTGTTTGGTTTCCCTGCTTGTTTCGCTTGCACATTCGGTTAGCTTATGCTCTTTTACCCTGTCTTCTTAGTCTATCTCAAGTATTGAAACCTTTTGATCTTTGGTTGTATGGAATTCGAGTAATTTGTTTATCTAAGTGTTTGATTGATTGCGTACTACTATTGAAATTAAAGTAGCAGTTGTTTTGTAGGCATATGCTAGCTCATTTCTCTTGCTGTGGTCGCGATATTCTGTTATGTTTTAGAATTGTTAAAAACCGTAGAATGCTTTACCTTTTGTGAATCCCTCTAAGTGACCATGTCAATGTATGAACACGTTTGTTTCTAGTGTTCATCGCATGACTGCATCTCGGAAGACCTGGTATGTGATAGCTATAGATTGGAGTTTCCTAGATTTTCCCTGGGTTTATGGGATAGAAATGAACTAGCCTAGTGAGTTTGGCCAAAATAGAGGAAAATTGCTGTATATAGAGGGATGAAGAACAACAATTGGAATATTTTTTAGCTTGTTGTATTTATGTTAGAAGTCTATCAGTGTGACTGATGGTTATCATCACTTGTCGAGTCATACATTTTGGAGACTGCTTGTATATCAAGTGATGAAATTACAGGCATTGTGAAGAATATGGCCCCAGCAATGAAGGAGAAGACAGCGTTGGGCAAGTTGGCATTGGAGGAATTTGTAAAAACTCAATAGGACCTTCTAGCATTTCCACCACCTTATTCATAGCTAGTCGGCTTGAAGGATTAGCTTGAATGCACCATAAGCTCACCAATAGCATCTTCCTTTGTATAACTTTTTCTTCTCCTACCAATCTCCCTTCGTGATCATGTTCTTGCATTTGTATCAGTTGCTTGTATATCAAAGTGGAAAATACTGTTCGCTATTATGTTCAACTTCAGTAAATGTGTTTTTTTCTACAACCAACCATTTCTAGAACTAATTTCCATAGCTATAAACATCTGATTTGTGGGATACACTCCCAAAACTCTTAAAAAATACCTCAGGAGCAATGAACCTTGTAGTTCCTCTCGCTACTGACATTGATTCAGTACTTTCTTTCTGCTCACACGACTTAGCAAGGCTGAAGTCTGATATTTTTGGGCAGAAATTTCCATCTAGTAGAATGTTGTGTGGCTTAATGTCAAAAATGCAATATTCTTGTGTTGCAACCTTGGTGTAAATACTCTAAACCTTCTTGCAATC